TTGCAGGTGAAAAGGTGGTCTCAAGTTCCTTGTGTTAAGCAGTCATATCCCCCCGTCCCTATTATTACATAGTACATTTAATTCTGAGCAGCAAATGTTGGGGTAGCTTCCAATGGAGTGTTGCAGGAATTAGAGCTCAAGGATTAAACCCTTTCGCTGGGCAGCCTGTGGTACCAGTAGCTTTGTCTGCTGATCCAGATCTTTGATGGAGAAGTGGAAGAAAAAGATGAACTTGAAAAGCAATCAGGACCTCTCTGTTCGTATGCTTTACATTAAATGTGTTCTAATTTCCTGTCATGTTTTTTTTGTAGCTTTGTAATCCTTCTTATTGTGAGATTAAGGTAGGCTTATGGGGCTGTGTTACGGGGACGTGTACCTGAATTTGCCTTGAGAAGAACCGGTGAATGCAGTCAGGGCTGCTGCGTTACGCAGGCTGGAGTGTGTTGAGGATCTGACCCAACTTTGGTATTTGGTGGTAATGCTCAAGTAGGCTTTAGTGGCTTTTGCTCTGCCTTGTAATTTCTTTGCAGCATAATAAAAAGCTCTTTAGAACATTGCTACATAGATTAATATAGAAAGTGCTTGTGATACTTTTATACACAGGGAGTTTAATACTTAGATGCAAGAGCAAATTGATTGCAGGCAATTCTGCGCTCGAGTACCCAGGAGTGAAAGGAATGATTACAATAACCTCTGGGATTTCTTCTCAGAAGTGGTTCCTGAAAACACCCACACCCACAAAGTATTGGGCACAACATAGTATTGTTCCCTTCTGATGTGGAATCACAGAAACATATTTTACTTTGGGAGGTGGGAGGGGTTGAGGGGGAAAGGAAACTCAAGAGACATTAATGTTTAATGTTTTTAATTTTGTAAAATGAACAACAAAAAAGGATATGGTTTGTGAGTGCCTCTGAGATTGTTTAAACTCTGGCAGCTTGCTGTCAGATGAGATGCTAAAAGCCAGAAAGGAAGAAACTGGGGGGCACAGTGGGTAAACTGCAGCTCTCTCACCTTTGGCACCCTGGTCTGATGGAAGAGTGAAACAACGGTGAAACAAACTTGGCGCGCATTGCTGTGGTCTCCACTAAATGACTTGTGCCACCTTGACTTGCATCAGATGGGACCTTGAGTTGCAGCCAGCAGGTATATTTCTCTTATTTGTGGAGGGTTCTAGCTGTCATACAGCTCATTTTCCTGGCCAGCCCCTGGGGTAAGGACTACATGAATTGTGCCTTTGCTTCACTTACCCTTTCCAGATTGCCCTTTTCTGCCCTGACAGAGAACATGGCCGTGGCTGAGGGCTTCCAGGCAGACAATTCAGCATCTCTCAGGGCTGGGGAGTAATTCCTGGAGGACCTTAACACCTGCTCAGCTTACCGCGGGTGAATTAGCCTCTGGTAAATGCTGCAGAGTAATACAAGTTACACAGGTTGCAATGCTGTCGATACAGACTGCTCAGCGGTGCTCAGGAAATGCAACTGCTTTTCTGGGGCAGAGGCTGAAACTTTGGGGTGGGGGAGAGTGACAGGGAAGTGAAAAATTAATTAAGGAAAAAAACCAGTTTGTTATCTTACATGTACTTTGCTTTGATAAAAAACTTAAAGCTAGACCTCTGGTATTTTAAAATAGTAAATAGATAATATCAATGTTGGTAGTTTAACACAATGTAAAATAAAAGTGAAGCAATAAAATTGAAACAAGAATTATTGATCCTAAAATTGAACAATTTTGTATTTTCAAAGTGTGGCATTGAAGCTTTTATTGTGAAGCTGAGTTTTTGGCGGAAAAAAAAAAAAAAAAACCTGCCAATATTTCTTGCCCCCTCTTTGAGGCTGACTGATTGCTTTAATTTGTAGGGTGTATGTGTTTAAAGTGCTCAGGTTGGAGGTATCCATCTGGTGTATACAACTCTCAGTGGTCAGGGCATTATAATACCGTGCCTCACTGGAGATTTTCCTGGAAGGGGATGTAGGAGTTTCTCCAGCACAGCTCTGACACTGGTGAGACTGTGGCAAAGGAACAGATGTTACTGTAGGTGAATAATAATCTGCTGTTAAGGGGGGTGGGAGGGTGAGCGCACTACAAATGAACAACACAGAGCTCACTTAGGTGTGTGCTGGTTTATATTGCACCTTCATTTGTGCCATCTCTTCTAGGAACTTTCTTTGTTGTTTTGTTGTGGTAGAGCCCCAAGACCAGGGCCTGCTGCAGGTCAATAAAATCTGCAAGAAAGTTGGGAGTAAAGGAGCATGTCTGTTGGTGAGTATCTGCTGTGTGGAGGGGCCAGGTTACCCAGAGAAACTCTGCAGGACTGTGAGAGGTTTAAGCTAGCATGGTTCATGTCACACTCACTTTTCTGTATTTCCACCCCCCCTCCTGCTCTGGGCCCCACATACGGGCCCAAGAGTTGCTTGGACAGCCATTCCTGGCAGACCGTGGGATGCAACAAGTGTGTGACAGCCAGGACAGATTCCTACAGGAATTCATGTTATTCCTCTGGCAAGTGCCTGGGAACATGCAGAGGATAAAGCAACACTGGTATTTGTTTTACAGTGAACTAAGGCTGGGAAACCCCACAAACTGTTGCCTAGAATAATACGGGGAACATCCATTGTCAAGAACTTACATTACCTTTCTTTTCAGGGTGACTGACTACTGTTTTTTTCCCCTCTGAGTAAGTGGAAAAGCACCAGGCTCAGCACCTGCATCAGTCTGCTGCCTAACCTAGGGACTAGCTGGGTCAAAACCAGCCTGCAGGAATAAAGACATTTAATTGGTTTTCTCGGGCAAGTTCTGCTACACCGATACCTCCAGTCTCTTCGTGTTTGATGACTGTTGCAGATTCTCCCATTTTATTCAGATGACGTAGGTACACGATATTGACAGCTGCTCACTGCAGTGTTACTGAAGAGCTGCTGAATGTTCTGACAGGCCTGATGGGTAGGTCTGTGTTTTTCAAGCAACAGGAGAGTAGCTTAGGTCTACAGAAGTGGAGTTTTTAAAAATAAACTGTGCTCCTGTGAATCAGCTTACTGCTAACTAGTTTAATTTAGAAAAAAAGCCTCTTCAGCAAATGAAATGTTATGGCACATTTCCAGTTGGTCCCACTAGCCATACAGATTCTGAATAGCAGCGCAGGTCAGAATTCAACCTGAACTTTGCAGGATGAGGGTGGCTGGTATTCAGCTGCTGTGAATTCAGTGACAAGCAACTTCAGAGGAAATGATAGAATAGATTAGAAATCCAGAGCTGGGTTTTGGTTGGAAACTGTATGTCAATTACCTTTCAAACTACATTTTGAAGTGAAGCAAAGGATGGGATCAAAAGGAACTCATTGTCAGCAACCATTAGGCCTAAAATTAAACCTATGGTCTGTTCAATTTACAGGCATGCACAAGCGTGTTGGGCTGCTGCTCTTCCCTGTACCAACATGCAGGGTGAATGCAAAAATGTCTTAATACCATGTCTACTTCCGTAGCCACATTGCCCCTGAAGTTTTTAAGACCTTTCCATCCCTTGTCTTGTCAGCCAGCTCACCATTCCTGCCACACAAACTCCAGGTACTGAGCGCTGCGATCTCACCATGTGGGTACAGCTGCCTTTTCTCAGTCAGCTCCAGCTGTTTGCGAATGGTACAGAGTATGACCGAAAATAGATAGAAGCTAAACTTTGAGAAGTCCAGCTTATTGCCTGGCTCTTTTCCCTTGGAGCTCACTGACAGCTCTGAAGGGAAGAAGAAATTGGTGCACACAGTGACAGCCTACAGCAGTGGCTCTGCTCAAGGCATGTGACAGACTGAAGAATTTGGGAGCTGAGTGACGACAGAGCTCTCCTGGAGGAAGGAAATCTTTCCTAAGCTAAAGAAGGTGGTTCTGTCTCTCCTGCATTTTCTAGGTGACATTATGAGGCTTGTCATAATAATCCTATATGTGGGAGCCCAGATTGCTGTTCCTTAGCTAGACACTTCTCTTTGCTTGCTTAGGATGGGCCACTGCTGTTCCTGAGTGAAAATCCACCAATGAAATGCTTTTGGACATACAGATCTTCCCCCAAAGGACCCAGCAAGCGATCCTGACCCATCTGTCTGGAATCCCCTTCTGCAATAACCCATTCAGATCTCCAGAATGAATCTCATGCACACAGAGCTGGGTTAAGGCTCAGATACTCTCTGTTGATTTAACAAGCTTCTTGTTGTTAGTCGTAGCCTGATCACGCTGCTTTGATGGGTTTACCTTGCAAGAGGCCTTATGTCGTGTTTCCATTGTGGCCAGCTAAGCTTGCCTTGCTTGCTGCTAATGTTGTCCTATATTTAGTGTTTTGACTTTACGTGACCCTGACACTGTGTAGGGGGAGGAGAAGGAAAAAATGTATTGCTTATGGCTAATCCTATGCATTGCTCAGAGACTGCGTCCACTCCAGCAACCTTTTCTCATGGTAATATTTTTTGTTAGCAATAAAAGGATTAATTCTAGAAATCAAGCTCTTTGATTATGATAAGCATAATAAATATCTTAGACAAATTGCTATCCTTTTAAGAATATTAGTAAACGAAGACCTTTGCTCTCCTAGGCTAGGCTTGAGTCTGCTGGTACATGCATTCATACCATCTGCACTGTGTGCTAATACAGCTCCTTGTTGTCTGGTCTTCCTGGGAATGCATTATATAGATTGCAGCTGGTTCAGAATGCAGCTGCCAGGGTCACGACTCACACTAAGATTAATCATTACGCCTGGGTTAGCTTCATTACTTTGACTACCCATTACATTTAGCAGAGATTATGAGATGTTGCTTTTAACTTACAAGGCTTGGGTCTAACACCTACTCACCTCAGCAACATGCTTTTATGGTATGTTTCTCTTGGTAAGGCTCCTAGAGCAGCAGAGAGCCTCTCTAGATGCTGTGCTTTCAGCTTGAGGAGGAAACCTTCCAGCGTGACGTGCATGAGGCGGCATAGTGTGGGATTCTCACGGCTCTGAGCTCGGTCCTCTGATGTGGAGTGTTTTCTTCCCAGTGCATACTGTCAATGCCGAACTCCTTGCCAGAGAAAACAATACGATGAAGAGGAGGATGAAAACATCATCGCCACCCCATATATAATTAACCTTGCAACCTACCTACTTCTCTGGATTTACTGCCAGGTATTTTGGGTGATAGCCATCCAAAGAAATGTGGTTTCCTAAGAAGGAAAGGGAGCTAGTGTGAGTACTTCCACTGCAAATGAAACTAAGATCATGAAACAATATGACATTTCCCAACAGAAGCCTACAACATAAATTCAGCTAACGGAAATGAACAGAATAGTCTAACCCCGCTGCATTCCCTGAAGCTGAGCCTCTGAGGTCTTCTCAAGCATAAAGGGGAAAAAAGCCAAACGTACAGAAGACGTTTGAAGGACAATTGAGTAAATGTGCCTGCGGTATTCCACATCAGAGCTATGAAGAGGAAACTTGAGGTTACCTTTTTTATGTACATATGGTTTGGGTTCCTGCCCCTGGGGTTATGGCAAAAGCTATTGTTGTTAAAGACAACATGATTCCTCATGCATACTGTAGAAAGTAAAAAAAAAAAAAAAAAAAAAAATTAAATTATTTTACATGCTTTAATTATATTATAATGTCATACAGGCTTCTACCTCACCACACTGCTCAGTCCTGAATACAGTGAGAAAAAATGTTGCAGTATCAGAGAGCCAGCATCTGACAGCTCATGAAACAAAAACTCCCTTTTATAACAAGAGGAAACAAATTTTCAGAGGTGTTGTTTGGCAGATCACAGAGGGGTAGGACTTGCTTCCTTGGTAAAGAAAAGTTCTGCTTTCTGTTGGACAACATAGCCAGAGATCAGTTGCTTGCCAACGTTGTGGAGAGGGTCAAACTCCCTAAAAGACATCTTGTAGTAACGGGCCAGCTTTGTCCTACACTGAAATTAAGCACTTAGCTGAGGTGCTTAAGCCAGGAGTCTGCTTGCTCTTGGCAGCTTCTCCCATCAGTGGTAAGAGAGACCCTTCCTCCTGAGGGCAGCTGTGCCAGCAGGTTTGTTCAGCCATCCTCTGTAGGGGTCTGTCCCTCATCACAGGCTTCCAGGCTTAGAAAAGAAGCACCTCAGGTTGGCAGGAAGGCTGAGCCAGAAGAACCCAGCTTGCAACATAAATATAGTTCGGAGCTATGAAAATCATGCACAGCAAAATCAGGCCTGGTTGGGTTGTCCTAATTAAGCACTTGAAAACAAATGGGCCTCACCTGCTGGTGTGAAGGTGATTGAGGCAGAGAATGTAGAAGAGGAAGAAGAGCAGTATTTTACCCCAGTGTTGCAAGTAGCCATGCTGTGCCCTCTGTGCAAAAAGAAGCAAGCTCTGGGGAGCCCTGCCTGAGGCTCTCCTGTCCTTGTGAGAGCTGTGAGGAGTCCTTTCAGCTGGCCAGGAGAGCTCTCAGGGCTCACCTGTGGGGCTGCAGGAGCCAGTCAGGCATTAAGCTAAGCTGCAAAACCTGGGCTTGGTCGGGGACTGATCTTCCTGTGCTACTTCAAGGTCAGTTCAAGTCAAGGTCAGTTCAAGCACTAAGCTCTAGATGAAGGAAAGAGCTCTTTCAGGAGGTATGTAACAGAGTTATGCTCTCATAATGCCTTGAATATTTGTTGGCAATCAAGGGGCAGCTGTTGGGAGAAAAGGATCAAAAAGATCCTAGCCTGCTTGTTGGAGATGTTGTCTTCCCAGACTTCTGCAGTTCAAGGTGCAGTAATTGTGGGTAGGCTCAGTGACTCAGGGGTCCTTTCTACATCCTGTATCCTATTATCATAAATCCAATTTTTCTGTCTTTTTTAATTGTCTCAAGATTATTCTGTTGTGCATGACTAACGCTTAGCACTTAGTCATACGTTTTTGGATCAGAAGTGTGTAGTAAGCAGCTCTGGTGAGAACTACAGGGCTCTTTGATGTAGCAACTTCAGGAACATCAAAGATGGCCTCTTTGATGCGATACGTCTGACGTTTTTGCAAACTTAGCCCTTCCTTTGATTTTAGTCCTTCAGTGTTTCCTGTGTTTCTGGGTGCCCAATAATTCTGTAGCCTTGCTGTGTTGGCTGCTGTTGCTCATGCAGTAACGTGAAGGAATCTTTTCTTTCAAAGCAAAGCTGCCCTCCTTCAAGACCTACGTGTAAGTGTACTGAAGATGTAACTCCTAATTAGTCATATGTATACAGCTTTATTTCTTAGCGTCTTGCTCCAGTTCTAAACCCCTGAAGCCTGTGTTTTTCTCTCCCTTTGTAACGGAAGATGCTTCAGTTGAACCTATGCTCCCTGAAAAAAGGGTAACATGCAGGGTTCATGCTGGCCTTTTTAAAAACTACATTGTGTGTATGTGCACATATGTATAGGAAGCTTACAGCTGGGATTGTGTGCAGTTATTAATCTCCACAGAAATGTGCATTAAGTGTGGAGCTGAAGCACAGAGGTAAGGAGCAGTGATCAGTAACTTAGCTTGTTGCCTAAGGGATGTATGGCAGAAGGCTGGGCTGCAACTCCACCGTCTGTCGGGAGATTTCCATGGGATGAATCTTATTCCACTCCAGGTTCCTCTGAGATCTGCCTGTAAACCTGAAGTTTATGAAGTTGAATGTTTTGGGGGTGAATTACAAGCCTCTGCACCTGAAAAATACGATGGTGATAACTCAGGCTCCTTCTGTCTATTTGAACCTTCTTGTTACCTGCTTCTAGCAGAGGAAGATCCTTTTTCTCTTTGACTGCATGTTAGTTTTCTTTCTAGCTCAGGTTATTTACCATCTTTCTATTGTGCAGTCATAAATTAATAAAGCAATGGCTTCCCTTGCAGCCAAGAAGCTGTGCACTTTGGCTTCTTCTAATGTGAGCATTCTGGAGTAGGAAGAAAGGATGATGTTTATTAGATGATGTTTCTTTAAATCCCTTAAGATTCAGATTTTCAGCTCGGTCCCCACCAGACCTCTTTGTAGGTCACTTATGTGCAATACCCCAGTTGCACCCATGATTTGGAGATGTCTGTATTCGAGTGACCTAAATTGCATCGAGGGAGGCAGAGAAAGGGGGAGGGAAGGACTGGGGGATGGTGGGAACCAGTCTGTCTGAAAACTCAACAAAATGCAGTTCCCCTTCCTGGAGAAATTAATTTGGCAATCAAATGGATTTAATAAATTCTCAAAATATTAAATAAATAAAGCAATTTAGGTAGGAAATGCAGATCATATAGCAGGTAGGGTTGTGTCCAGAGCTAAAAAAAACAACAAAACAAAACAAAAAACCACGTCTGGTATGGCTGCAGAACACGGAGGTAAAAGAGGCTTTGCAGTGAGGTGTTTGGCACTGTGTGATCCAGTAAGCGAACTGAAATTGGCTGCGTTGGTACCAAGTCCATACAAGTGAAGGAATCTTCTGGAAGTGATGGTCCCATTAGCAAGGTGATACGCCTTTATTAGCGTTACGCAGCTGCAATAATCTTAATGGAGCAATCTAGTGTTCTTCCCAAAGGAAGATCTTATCTCATTTATTAATTGTCTTTCTAGTAGTTATGAGTTCATCTGAGCTGGGGAAGTGTGCAGGCTGAGAATCTTGATGCTGCAGACAGGGAGCGAGCCTAAGGCTGGATGTTGGGAGCAGGGATCTCAGCAAGGGTTTGGACAGAGCAGCGTGTCTTGCTGTATGCTTCCTGCGAACCTGACAACTCGCTGTGTAAATACTCGGTGTGAATTGTTGGCTGAATTAGTCACCTCTTACTGGTGCACAGAGCAAGCGTGTCTTCCTTCAAAGCTGGCAAGTGACATTTCAACATGCAGCAATCAGGATGCACGGGAGAGATTAGCCTGTTGTGCACATCTCCAGTGGTGGTTCTGGCTAGAAAAGAGAGGTAGTGATTAACAGAGAAGGCAAAGTGTGTGCAGTTATGGGAAGCTCCCTTGTTGAACCTTGCAGTATCCAAATGTTTTTCTCTGACCTGTACAATCTTGCTGTGTTTATTTTTTAGCAGGGAACAGAGTAGTGGGAATGGGATTTCTCATTTTCCCCCATGGCACCTGGTTAGATAGCAACACAATACCTGCCCTCTGTCGTGTGCCCCCAGTCGATGTGTGGAACAGACTGGTCTGTGTTTTACATAGCAGCAATTTTCACTGAATCCTCTTTGGGGAGGGAGGGTGGTGGTGCCAGCCTGTCTTGGTACGCTTGGTGGCACTTGGTAAAACCACAGTGGTTTCTTTTCTTGTAGAGAGAACCTGTCTGGGGACATGCTGGGAGGCAGTTTGGGGAGTCATTCTCCTATGCCTCCCAAATCAGCTGGGGCTGAGCCACGCTGGAGGTGTGAACAGAAGATGCTCATATCTTGTGCACTGATAGATGAGCTGCCTCTCTTTGGTATGGATTCACCCCTTAGCACAGTGAAGGTACCTCAGGGATTGAGTTGAGGCTCTTGAATCCCTCTCTGGAGTCCCCTCGGTCAGTTATGGAGGTATTTTAGCTTCTAATCTTGATTTTTCTCCCCCTTTCCCTCTGAATCTCCCCTTTCTCCAGCAGGGGATTTGGATACCCATAGCAGAGGGCAGAATACCACCCGGTAAACTCTCTGGAGTACAGCTACTGCACAGCCTCCTGCTGGGGAGCTGAATGTATGGCTTATGCCCTAAAGCAAAATGTATAATGCTTAGAGAACAGAGTGCATTTTTTTTCTTTTTTCTTTGCTGCTGGAATAAATTATCATGTCGAAGTGCTGTGGTTTGGACTTATCCCTAGATGGGCATCACCAGTGGTGTGCATTTAGGAAATAATAAGTTGAAAAGATGCCTCTTGAAAATTGTATGGGTTTGCAACAGATAGAAGTCTTCAAATGCTGTTATTTTTCTGATCCCCCTCCCCTCCCCCAAGGTTAACCCCACTGATGCTTGCTTCTCTGCATTCTTCAGCATGCTTTTTTGTAGGTCATACTGTGCTGCCCTTCAGCCATATGGGTCTGTTAAATTTCCTAATGGAGACTAATGCTGCTCACATCAGGTGAAAAATCCACAAGAAAAATAAAACCTCTACATCCCTAATATTCCTTTGTGTCTTAGTCGGCAAAGCATGCTATTCTCTGCACTTACTTATGTGCCTGACACAACACCTCTAGGTGCATGTACAATATCCAGTATAAACAGAGGTGCTCTCGAGCTGTATTTATGACCTCTTGTGTCCAGTCGTACACGTCCTTGAGAAATTTGTCAGGCCAAAATGTAATGTGAGATCCAGGGGGGATAGATACAGACCTAGAACAACTGTAGAACACAAGGAAAAACATCTCATTTTTTCCATAGACTTAGGTTGCAGTATTCGTGCCACATAGCTAAAGAATAATTGAGGCTAGGAAGCTAAGCTTGGAGGACTGTTACAGAGTGAGGGCTGACTAGTGTTTACAGCTCTGTAATGCTGTTGATACTGCAGAAATTATTAGTTGTGAAGGAAAGTATTTGTGGGTTCAGGGTTTTATTTCATCCAACTGAAGAAAGAAAAAAACAGTTGTCTGCAAAATAATAGTTTCTTTCCTTAGACACACAGAAGATGTTAAAGTTTCTGTACCCCAGGTATATTTATGGTGTTCCTCAGTGCTATGGGGGCAGAGTATATAATCAGTGTATAAAGAAAAAAATATTGGAAACGTCTTTAACTGGTAGGCGAAATAAAGGGAAGAAAGTCTGTGCTGTTGATCTGCATCTGTTTAGTTGTCATGAATAGAGTTAAGACAGAAGTTGGCTTAGGTCCAGGTTGCAGCAGCTTAGCAGCTTTAAGCACCTATTCTTCCACAACTGCTAGTTGAAGTAGCAGTGTTGCTGGCAATAATAGTTGAGCAGAAGTGCTATTTCCTTTGCTAAAATTGCATGCAAATATTTATTTATTTTTCCTCCAGAATTGGGTACCCCACAGCAGAAAAGATGATGTGGATTACTGAATTTGGCAACAAGGCTCCTTTAATCTCTCCAGCTTCCAAACTGATTTATTTTTCTATTGGCAATTCATATTTTCTTTTATTTCATTATTTTAATAAGCTTGTCCAGATCTTGAACAGTTCACAATGACAAACCAGGTCAACCCATGCAAAAAGGTTAAGAGGGCAGAAGGGGAAGGATAGCTGAAAATTTTAAGCTATCGTGTATCTGCAGAGTGGCCTTCTGTGAAACTTACACTACCATTCTGAAAAGAAAAAGCAGTTAAGTTACTTAACAGGTTTCAGATTGGCTGGCTGATCAATATCAAGTATTAGTAATGCTGTATTAGAAGAGACCTATGCTATACACTCAGGCCTTATTACCATGATGTCCTTTTATTGATACTAACACTTGATCATATACAACAAATTATTTTGAAGTTATTTTTGATGAATGTTGTTCATATGTGGTATATGGCTTGATCTTGCAAACCTTTACACGTGAGGGTAGTCAATTGTCTTCAAAGATTTGCAAGAATGGCCCATGTGCAATACAACCTCGATTATCCAAATGTCAGGGGAGACATTGAATAAGTTCATATAATCGACATTTTGAATAATGAGGAAATTTTCAGTGCAATTAATAGATGTCAGGGGACATGACCATCTTTCAGA